TACAGAGGAAAGAAAAAGAGTTTGCTTTGTTTTTGCAAAAATATCCAAGCGCCTGTACGACATGTGTGCCTTGGGAGCATGTGTGTGTTTTTTCTCCCAGACAATGTCAGGGAATGCATTAAGTGACAGAACCGGAGGTGGTGTGCAGACGGGTTACAGGAGACAGAAAATGCTGAGTAGAGTAAGAAAACAGGAGAGTTTATCTGCCTATATGGAAGACGGAAGATGTCTTTTGAGCGCAAAAATTCTTTCTGTCGGCTTGGCAAAACGAAAAATGTCCATCACTTGCAGTTGCCTTGGTAACCTTGGCTTGGAATTATACATGGAAACTTAAAAAGTGCATGTGCACCTGTGGATTTGAACCATGAATGAGGATGTTCATGTTTAATAAATTCCCCTGGCCTCCGAAGCATGCCGTCTCAAGGTGTTGGGTTTAAATGGCAGTAAGGATTAACGTACGTGCTGTGGTTTTGGGTGACGTCACGTTTTAATTGTAGAAATGTCAACTGCCGGTCTATTCTGCCTGAGAATTAGGATTACACAGAGAGATTAAAGGCTGCTTTTTAAAGGCCAGCGAGTTTAATTGCATGGAATTAATCAAGTTGTCAGGATTAAACTCGCGCAACTTAAACCAGAAGAGATTCTCTGACACATTCGGTTCTTTCAGTCACGAGAGAAACTTTTTATAGCCGGGTGTTGGGTTTCCCCGCTTACCTGGGAGGCATGCTGGGAAACCCACTTGAGCAGATTAGAGCCAAAGTTGGGCTCACAGTCATCAATGGCCAAACTGGCAAAGTGTGGGATCCTCTTGCAGACAGCGTGCCACAGCTCAAAAGGTCAGAATGGTGTCACTGTTACAAGTAAAAGCCAGCCACCCATGGTGTTATTATCCACTCACACATGCACACTTGCACACAGACACACAGAGGTGCACACACAATTATGCCCCACACTACTTTCCCTGGCTTAACTGCATGGCTGGGTCTTTCCTTACAGAAAACAGGGCCGACTGTCTCAGAAAAGTTCAGCTCCCACAGCTCAGAAGGTCAGGAACATTACCTCCATTTACATCTCTGCCAGCCGCCTCCTCTTTTCCCGCAGCCCTTCTTACTCTCTCTGGATTTCTCTCCTTCGCTCTGCAACGTCTGACTCACAGCATGACATGTGAGAACAGGTGAACGCACGTGACTAACAGTATATTAACTGCAATGCGTCAGGTTTGCATTTCCTCGGGTGTCATTTTATTTTTCATCTTAAGTCTTGTTTAAATTTGTGCATTGGTAGCGCACAAAGGCTGTTTCCAGCTATAACTCATGTGCCTGACAAATTGATTTATTTACTTCTATTAAATTTCTTTATTCAAAGTGTATTCATGCTTTTTTTTTAATCCTCCTACTGGACCCCTTTTATTCTTTTTTAAAATAATTAATGAACGCATTAAGGGATAAGGCTGGAGCTATTCTATACTTTCGGTACAGTCAACAACTAACAATGCCTCAAATTGTTTATTTAATTTTGAACACAAATTGGTTATTTTTCTGAACCTGCTGGATGACTTTGTGTTTGGCAAATGTTGCTCAAGTAGGAGTAAACTGTGAATTTGCTGGGAACTGTTTTCAGCTGTGAATTAACATATAGTTGTTGCTCCTGGGAGTATTTTTGTAGCGCAATGATGAATGTGGGATTTAGACAAAATAAACAGTATGTTCATTTTTGTGAAAGAACATGTCACTCAGTACAATGGTGGGGGAGATCTGGGAGGCAGAATAATAAGATATAGCAGGTTTGGGCTAAACAGGCAATACATGTTGGTAGGGTCAACTGAAAAAGTGAATTTGTCATTACTTTCAGCTGTTACTGGAAAAATTACACTGTAAAAGGCTCATCAAAAAAAAAAGAAATATGTTTGCATCAATCTTTAAGTGATGAAAACACATGACATTTTGTTTCACCAACAAACTACGTTGAGTTAGGGGAGTTAGCTTTTCCACCACAATCAAAGATAATGTTAAATATTGCTTATAAAATAATTGGTAGCATGAAAGTTTTTAAGTTAAATTCTTGTAAAAAAAAAAAAAAAAAAAATAGGTTGTACCAACTAGTGTTTCCATGGTACTTGAAAGGATTTTTCAACTGGTGTGCACTTAATTATCATAATTGTGAACACAAGATTTTAAGTTTAATAATTTTAAAGGTTTAAAGGTATCAGGTTGCTCAGATGTTACATAGATAGGGGAGGGAACTTGAAGTCATGACGTCAAGGTGAAGAAAAAATCAGACATCAAGCCAATTTCATTAAGTTATCTTAGCTCAAACTTAACTAGCGCAGAAATGTGGAGTTTTGATTACAAAAAATAATAAGTGGGTGCAATTACCAGCATTATGTCAACCCAACCCATCAAAAGTAATATATGCAACTTAAAATGTTTATCTAAATAATTTGATCAAAATGTTTTATATTGTAATCATACCCGTAATTAAGTGGTGCATGGGTACAGGTCCCTTGTTAGAATGAGATGGTTTTGAGACTATGCTAAACTCAACTAATTTGAGATCCAATCTCGAGATCATCAGTCACATATTTGACAAGTGGTTTGTGATTCTGCGATGTGAAGAAACTTTGTGAGGCAAACTACATTTCCATTTGCGGACTCAAGCAGGTGCAAGTCAAGCTGGCGGTTTGGTCGATGCTAAAACTGTCAGAAGCAGTTTGTCAGAATACAAATAGACGGAGAACAAATAAGATGAGATCCTGACTGTCACCAGTGAAGGACGTAAAGTGGATGTGACATGTGGTGGTGCGAAGTTTGCAAGTGAATGAGGAATCGTATTTGGAAGCTTATAATGAAGCTGCTGTATATTGTAAACGCAAAGCATCAGTTCAAGCATCACTTGGAGTCTCGTGATAATCTATATTTTTGTTGATATTATTGGCAAATCTACACAATAAGACAGAATCCAAAAATGTATTAATTTGTCTCCCAACATTTTCTGACTTTCTTTTTTTTTGTGACAATCAGTCCCAAAATACTTTGTTTTTTTGAAAGTGTAAATCCTTAAAGAGAAGAATAATTTCCTAAAAAGCTGGGCACTGAACTCTGGGATCTATTTTCAGACGCCGATTATGTTCTTTAGTTGGTTTTTTACAGAAGAACAGCTCATGAGGAATTCAGTCAAGATAAACGAGAGCATCCATATTCATAATTATGAAGGAACATGTCACGTTCTGCTCGAATGTGAATCGCTGATGTGTTTTTAGTAGTTTTGGACAACAGTGGAGGTCTGTGGTGCAGAAGAATATGCTAAATCAGGCTTCGAATACACACATAATACTATTCAGTAGTCTAAATTCATGGTTGGTTACAGTCTTTCCATTAAAAAATTGAAATCAATGCATCCCCGACACGAGGTTGGACCAGTTCATTTTGGGAAGGTAAACAGTTTGTCACATGCCAGAGCAGAACAGAGGAAAGGACAGGACAACAGGATGGGGCGCTAATTTTCTGGCTGCTGCCCATTGTTAATGTTGTTGACACCACAGTCACCTGCCATCTCACACATACAGCATTAGCCAGCAGATTCCAGCCCTGCGTGGGACTGCTAATTGAATCCTTTATACAAGCTATAATAACAGCAGCACAGCAGAGAAACAAAACAGATGTCTATGTGTTATTCCCCCCTATCTCTGTTTGTACTCAATATCTTTCTCTGTCTTTATGCTATATATCACTGACTCTCTTTTTCTGTTTGACCAGCGGTAAAAACAATGTTGCTTGGCAACAACAGAGATATGGCGCAGTGTGTGTATATTTGGTGTCATTTTGGGTAGGTAAAGAGACAGAGAAGGTGGGAAAGTACGAGAGGGAGGAGGAGGAGATTGGGTGAAGATGGATAAAATATGGATAAGAGGAGGATGAGAAAGAGTGTGATGACATGGAGAGATGACAGGAGGGATGGAGGATGGGGGAAGTAAAGGCCTTTTTCCAAATCAGTCATTCTTGACAAAAACTCATCCATTCATATAAAAAGGTTTAACCACATACACACACACACACAGGGGGAACAAAGCATATTTTGAAGGAAAGAGGCTGATTTAACTCAAGAAGATAAGAATGGCTATTAAATATGTATAAGCTCATTTAGCAGATGTGTTCAGAACAGCCGCGCAGACTGCAGTATGCACATGTTACTACACATTATTGTTTATATATTATCTCACTGCCTCGTTCTAGCTCCGTTGTGCCTCCTCCTTTCATTTCACAGCACTCTTTTACCAGTTTTATTGTATTTAGCAGCATTTTTATGAGAATCAGTCTCGTTTGTATTCACAAGTTCACTTCTGCAAGTAGAAATTGTTACTGGCTATTTTTTTTTAGTCGTCGTATTCTTTTCTCTTTTTTTTTTTTTTGTTGCTTTTACCGTTTAAATTGGCAGAATGATTGACAGATGTTTTCTGTCTCGCTCTGGTCCTCTGCTTTCCTTTCGTCATCCCACATCCCTGCTCTCTCTTTCATCCCTGTCTGTCTCTTCCAAAATCCTCTTGTCCTTCATCTGTGTTTCTCTCTTACGCAATAATCTTTTCTGCTATTATCTCTGTCTCTTTCCTTCCCTCCCCTCTGCAATCCTGCTGTCTCTACCTTTACTTTACTATTCTGTCTGCAATCTTCTTCTCTCTACTTTTGGCTCCGTTCCCTCCCCCAAATCATTTTCTCTGATCTTGTTCTCCCTCCATCCATCTGTCTTCCTTCCTTCCTTCCTTCCTTCCGCACCTCTTTGGCTGCCCATCCCCCTTCCATGTCTCCAATCACTCATTTCCTTTTCCTTAACCCTCTATCCCATCCATCCATCTTCTCCTCCAAACATATTTTTCCACTTTTCTTCCTATCCTTTCTTTTTCCCCTCATTTTCCATCCCCTTTTCTCCTATCATTCTGTCAATCATCACATTAAATTACTCTTCTTTTTTTTCCACTCCATACACCCTCTTTCCCTCAGCTCTCTGTGGTCTGTGCTGCGATGTTGATCCTGGACGTTTTGTCCCCGCTCCTCCTCCTCTCCATCCTGTTGCCGGGCTACGGTTGCCGGGCGGCGGACATTCCAGAGGACACTACATCAGAGTTCTCGGTCAGACTGTACCACCGGCTGCAGGCAGCAGGGGGTCAGGACAACATCATTTTCTCCCCGCTGAGCGTGGCTGTGGCCCTGGGCATGGTGGAGCTGGGAGCCAGGGGGGCTTCGCTGGAGGAGATACGACAGGCTGTAGGATTCAGCCATCTGCTGCCCGGTGAGAGACACGTTCATAAACACGGGTTCACAAGCATCAGGGTCAGCGGTGGGTGAAAAAAGAGGAGCTGACAAGTGAATAGTCTGTCATTTTGTTTACAATAATAATTCATTTAATTATAAGGCCCGCCTGATGTTTTTACCCATGAACGTCAGTTTAATTGTCTTGTAGAGTGCTACCCTTCCTGTGAAAATGGTTGTATATGGCTTCTGCAATTCGGGAGGGAGTTTTTTTACATTTTGAAAAAACCATCGCCATGATTATTTTGGCTTGAGCAGAGACAATTTAAGCAGAAAGCCTGCGTTACAAACTAAGATGTTGGCAGTTAAGATGGGCTTGGGAGGTCTAATGACACATCAGATCCATTTGCTTTGTGGAAAATGTAGGTGCTAAAAGTTAGAATATCTCTGCCTCTGCTGCTTCATTTTCAACCAGTTTGTAGTTGATGTTTCTCTTGTGAGTCCACCAACTATAAGGTGGTAACATTTTAAGAATGTCACTTTAAATAATATTATAAAACTCACAAGCTTCATATAACATAAATACAATTTTACTCATATTGCATTTATACTTCCCCGATACATACAGCAATATTTCAATTTACAGAATTTGCACAGTGACTAGTTTAGTGGCAAACTACAATTTCACAGAGAGCCATTTCAGATAATTTCACATACTACCTTTAGTGCTTTTAGCATATTAATTTACGACACATTGGTATTTATTTAGTGATGTATATTTATATACAATTGTTTTATATTAAAACATTATCTACTGATTTTAATAACATTGGTTATCCTTGGCCTTAAAAACAGAAAGCTGAATGAGAAAACACTGTGCATTGTAAAATGTTTTTTTAATAGCTCAGAGAGAACGAGGACCCAAATGTATGACATGACAGCCAGATTTAAAGGGAAAAAAGCAAGCCCATGCAAATATCCGAAAACAAGACAGGCATAAAAATTGAGGGAGCAGAATGAACAACACAAATCCAGGTAGACAAACAAAGGTGCAGGGAACAAGGAGAGGCCAGAATAAAAGTAGCAAATAGTTCACAATCTAAAAAAAGGCACAAAATGCAATTGCTTAGGGGACACGGGGTGAAAACAGATGAAATGACAACTGAGAAGAAACGCTGGACTATAGATACACAAGGAACCGAAAGGTAACAACACACAAGTGAGACTAAAAAGGACAAAGCGAAGGTAAAACTAACAGAGACACACGAGGGGTTTCTTCCAAATCACATACATTGTTTTTCTTTTACTGCCAGTGTGTACTATAGCTGCCATTACACAGTGTGCATACAACTTGTCATAATAATGTGCTTTAAACTTTGGCTGTCGCAGTCTGTCGTGTAAAATGAATTGTCATCTCTTTGTGCACCCCAAGCAGATCAATTAAAATAAATGACAAAAGTATTGTGAATATTTGTCTGTGTTTGAACTTGAGATCTTAGCAGGAAGAGATGTGAAATATAAATGTAATATATGTGAAGGATATTCTTTGTATTCTCTATGCAAAAAATTGCTTTTTTGCTATTACTACACTTTTGTTTAACAAGAAAAAAACTGTTGATTTTTGCGTAACTGCATTTTAAAAGCACCTTGTAGGACAACAGATGTGACAGTATGAATGTGAGTCTCGCTCTGTTTTCCAGGCGTGGAGTTCTCTCTGCTCCAGAACCTGACAGCGGCTCTGTCGGATGATGATACGCACTACGTGATCCGATTTGCCAACAGCCTCTTCCTGCAGGAGGGCGTCACCTTTAACCCCGAGTTTTTGCATCTGATGAGGAAGTACTTCCGGGCTGATGTGGAAACGGTGGACTTCAGCGAGTCATCAGCTGTGGCCGATCAGATCAACAACTGGGTAGAGAATCATACCGAGAGTGAGTTAGAGAAAGAGGGAGAGAGATGAGTAGTGATACAGTATAAATGTGTACTTGTTTGTGCATTCCTTACATTCTTTAAAATAATATACAGCACTGTCAGAGGACTTCTAATGACATCAGTGTGTTCTAAAACAAAGAATATTAAATACATTTTCAACCCCTTAAATTCACAAACTGTACTTATCATTAGTTACGACTTCAGAAGCTGCACCACAACAGCAGCTATCCCGAGGCTGATGAAATGCAGATCCTAATACACTCCACAAATTGCTCCCTCCAGGTAAGATCCGTGCGCTGCTATCAGCCGAGGACTTCAGCAGCGTGACCCGCCTGACCCTAGTGAACGCCGTCTACTTCAGAGGCTCCTGGAAAAACCAGTTCAGACCAGAGAACACCAGGACCTTTTCCTTCAGCAAAGACGATGGCTCTGAGGTCCAGACGCTCATGATGTACCAACAGGGAGACTTTTACTACGGTAAGAAGAAAGTGTGCGCGTCTCTCTATCTGTGCATTTGTAGAATTATACTTGTGGCTTTTTCTCTGGAGCCCTTGATTTTCAGTTCATATTTCCTGAGGTTATTTAAAATGTTAATCTTAGATGTGAAATATTCATATTTGGAGTGGTACTCCCAGGAAAGGCTTCTCTTCTCTGCTCAGTCTGCTCTGCTGCTAACTTTCTCTTCACTTGCACAAACACCTCTAGTATGTCATTTTAAAAGAATATTTTAAAAGTTTTTGTTTTTTTTTACATTACATTATTAGCTGTACTGTGACAGTCTGTGCTAAGTTGAGATTTAATATATTAGGTTTTTCTAATAACAGAAGACAAGACAAACTACACTCAGTTTGTTGAAGTCTTTTTATATTCTGTTTCATTTGTTTATCCATTTGACTTTCCTTCCAACAACTGTCCCTTTTCTTATCTTTTGTTGCTTCTGTGTTGAAAGTTGTTTTTTTACAGCCTTGCTTTGTCCAATCTCAGTAAATGTGATGTCTTAAGGTTATTTTTATGTAACAAGATTTATTTAGGCTTTAGTTTTTAACCACACCTTATACATCTTTAACGTCATAATCTAGTTGTTCAGCGCATGTTCAGTTTTGGTGTATTTGTTGACTTGCCAGTGCTGGGAAATGCAAGACTGTCTGTACGGAGTCTAGCAGTTTGGCTGTTATGATGTTACATGAATGATTTCATTCCATCTCTTCTGCATCTACTCATTTTTTGTCTGCCGCACTGCCAAAGACAGTTACATCATATTTTTACTGCACTGCTACTAAAGTTGGTGCATTTCGGTTATTTTGGTGCCGTCTGTATGCGTGTAGTGAGATTGCACACTTACATACACCTACGTTCTCACATAGTCATGCTCATACACTCAGGATCAAGGAAATCTGTGCATGTGTGAACTGGTGTGTGTGTGTGTGTGTGTGTGTGTGTGTGTGTTTGTGTGTGTGTGTGTGTGTGTGTTTGTGTGTGTGTGTGTGTGTTTGTTTGTGTGTGTGTGTGTGCACGCGAGTGTAGTGTGTGCATGTGTGGATGTGTGTGTTTGAGCGCTGCAAAATAGGGACAGGTCCTTGGGGAGAAGGCTGCGTTTGCATTCTCTTTTTGAAGCACAATCATATTGGTTAAGTAAAATGTTTTGGGAAGCCACATCCCATTCTTTGCTGCATTGTTTCCTCACTCTGCATCGGCAAAGGCTTCCCACAACGCTAAGTTAATGAAGGATAATCAGTGTTTTTGTTGTAATTTTCCCTTTTAAGCTGCTTCTAAAGAAAACTCAAAAGAATGTGCAAAGAATGGGATCAAATCCGGCGGTGTTAATTTGTTTTTAATCTCCATCTCACACTAGAAAACCCAAGTAAGTGGGATAATCTTGTGTTTAGATTTAAAATCTAGTTGGACCTCATTTGGGTGTAAAAGGATTATCACATCCTGACTAAGAAATAGTGTCTCACTTAATTCAAGTAAATGTTTCTTGCCTTGTCTTGATTAGAATTTAAATGTGAGGGTTTTGTTTAATTAGATACAAGAGTACAAGTCTGTTAAAGATCTTCCTCAAGGCTATGAAGCTGTCACATTTCACTCTGTATCTGGAAGAAGATATCAGCTCTTACAGATGTCCGTGTGCACATGTGATGTATAATCACACGTGCAGACATCTATATGTGTGTGGGCAGGTATTTTCTAAATATACATGCAAGGATGTTTCTGATTTTCCTCGATCCAATAGTGGTTTCTTTCATTTCCTGCCTGAAGACAGACAAGTGCATGTTTGAGTAAAAAATTTATTTCACTGATAAACACACTATCCTTTTCTGCCTAATTGATTTTTTTCTTGGGATTTCAACAAAGCACTGGCAGCACTAGGCACAGTGACTACATACAGTATGGCATGTATGTAATCCATTTTCACACCAAGTGTAAGCAAAGGCTTTGAAGTGAAGCGTCAGTGGTTTTCAATTAGAGCACGACCACACACACTGTAATCGATTCAGCCAATCAATGTGCCTTAACACATGCTTCCATTTGTGTACGTTCCCTCCTCGGTAAAGGTCCCAGGCACCAGATGCGTACAGTATGTGTGTGTACCCACAGCTGTGTATGTTTCTTCTCCATCAGGCGAGTTCAGTGATGGCTCACAGGAAGCTGGTGGTGTGTACCAGGTGTTGGAGATGCCCTACGAGGGAGAGGACATGTCCATGATGATCGTTCTGCCTCGGCAGGAGGTACCGCTGGCTTCTCTGGAGCCCATCATCAAAGCACCTCTGCTGGAGGAGTGGGCTAACAATGTCAAACGGCAGAAGGTGGAAGTCTACCTGCCGAGGTGAGAGATGACACACACAAACACATTCATGTATTTGTATGCAAGAACACACTCTGGCATTGTGCTTTAGAAGTTGTTTTGTCTACCTACCTGCTAATTTTCCTGCATAATACAAGCACACATGCACAGAAACAGACGTAAAGCTACACATGCGATGTATCTACAACATACTGGTACTGATTAAACCCCTAAAAGCTCATATCTCCATCCATCCATCCATTGTCTTCCGCTTATCCGGGGTCGGGTCGCAGGGGCAGTAGGCGGAGCAGGTCTTCCCAGACCTCCCTCCCCCCGGCAACGCTTTCCAGCTCTGCCTGGGGGATCCCGAGGTGTTCCCAGGCCAGCCGAGAGATATAATCCCTCCAGCGGGCTCTGGGTCTGCCCCGGGGTCTCCTCCCAGGTGGACGTGTCCGGAAAACCTCCAGAGGAAGCCTCCCCGGAGGCATCCGAACCAGATGTCCATAGCACCTCAACTGGCTCCTTTCGACGCGAAGGAGCAGCGGCTCTACTCCAAGCTCCCTCCGGATGTCCGAGCTCCTCACCCTATCTCTAAGGCTGAGCCCAGCCACCCTACGGAGGAAGCTCATTTCGGCCGCTTGTATCCGCGATCTTGTTCTTTCGGTCACGACCCAAAGCTCGTGACCATAGGTGAGGGTTGGGATGTAGATGGACTGGTAAATCGAGAGCTTTGCCTTGCGGCTCAGCTCTCTCTTCACCACGACGGTCTGGTACAGCGCCCACATTACTGCTGACGCCGCACCGAGCTGCCTGTCCATCTCGCGCTCCATTTTCCCATCACTCGTGAACAAGATCCCGAGATACTTAAACTCCCTCGCTTGAGGAGGTGGCAATCCACCAGCTTCCGGCAGAGAACGATGGCCTCGGACTTGGAGGTACTGATCCGCATCCCTGCCGTTTCACACTTGGCTGCAAACCGCTCCAGTGAGTGCTGAAGGTCATGGTCTGATGAAGCCAGCAGTACCCCGTCGTCTGCAAAAAGCAGAGACAAGATCCTGAGGTCCCCAAACCGGACACCCTCCTCTCCCTGACTGCGCCTTAAGATCCTGTCCATGAAAACCACAAACAGGATCAGTGACAAGGGACAGCCCTGGCGGAGTCCAACACCCACTGGGAACGTGTCCGACTTATTGCAGAGAATGCGGACACAGCTCGCACTTTGGTTGTACAGGGACCGTATGGCTCATAGCAGCGAGCCTGGCACCCCATACTCCCTCAGTACCCCCCACAGAGTTCCTCGGGGGACACGGTCATAGGCCTTCTCCAGATCCACAAAGCACATGTGGACTGGCAGGTCGAACTCCCATGCCCCCCTCAGCAGCTCCACAAGGGTAAAGAGCTGGTCCACTGTTCCGCGACCAGGACGAAATCCGCATTGCTCCTCCTGAATCCGAGGGTTCGACAATCGGCCGAAGCCTCCTTTCCAGCACCCTAGAGAAAACTTTCCCGGGGAGGCTGAGAAGTGTGATACCTCGATAATTAGCACACACTCTCCGGTCCCCCTTTTTAAAAATGGGAACCACCACCCCTGTCTGCCACTCCACAGGCACTTTACCCGATGCCCACGCGACATTGAAGAGACGTGTCAGCCATGACAGTCTGACAATGTCCAGAGCCTTCAGCATCTCAGGGCGAATCTCATCCACACGGGGAGATTCTCAACTACCTCGGCGACCTCTACCATGGATATGGACGCAGAAGCCCCCAAGTCTTCAGGCTCTGCCCCTTCATCAGAGGACGTGTTTACCGGGTTCAGGAGTTCCTCGAAGTCCTCCTTCCACCGCTCGACGAGATCCCCAGTCTGGGTCAGCAGTTCTTCTCCCCAACTGTACACAGCCTGGGCAAATCCCTGCCTCCCCTTTCTGAGGTGTCGGACGGTTTGCCAGAACTTCCTTGGGGCCGACCGAAAGTCCTTCTCCATAGCTTCCCCAAACTCCTCCCACACCCGAGTTTTAGCTTCCACGACCGCCGCAGCTGCAGCCCTTTTGGCCAGCCGGTACCTGCCTGCTGCTTCAGGAGACCCCCAAGCCAACCAGGCCCGAAAGGTCTCCTTCTTCAGCCTGACGGCTTCCCTCACCGCCGGTGTTCACCAGCAGGTTTTGGGGTTGCCTCTGCGACAGGCACCAGTGACCTTTTGGCCACAGCTCCAAACGGCTGCTTCTGCAACGGAGGCTTTGAACATGGACGACTCTGACTCCATGTCCCCAACGTCCCCCGGGATGCAGGAAAAACTCTTCCGGAGGTGGGAATTGAAAACCCCACGGACAGGGACCTCTGCCAGACGTTCCCAGTTCACCCGCATTACGCGTTTGGGTTTACCAGGTCTGTCCGACAGACCTCCCCGCCATCGGATCCAACTCACCACCAGGTGGTGATCAGTTGACAGCTCTGCTCCTCCCTTCACCCGAGTGTCCACAACATACGGCCGCAGATCTGATGACACAACTACAAAGTTGATCATCGACCTTTGGCCTAAGGTACTCTGGTACCAAGTACACTTATGAGCAACCTTGTGTTCGAACATGGTGTTTGTTATGGCCAATCTGCGGCTAGCACAGAAGCCCAAAAACAAAACACCGCTCAGGTTCAGATCAGGCAGGCCGTTCCTCCCAATCACGCCCCTCCAGGCTTCACCGTCATTGCCCACGTGAGCATTGAAGTCCCCCAGGAGAACTGTGGAGTCCCCAGGCAGCACCCCTTCCAGGACACCACCCAGTGACTCCAAGAAGCCCGAATACTCTGAACTGCTGTTTGGTGCATCAGCACAAACAACAGTCAGAGTTTTCCCCTCTGCAACACGCAGTCGCAGAGAGGCAAACCTCTCGTTCTCCACCAGGGGGCGGTACGCCAGGACGCCCGCTCCTGCCTACCACCCGGTGGGCATAGCATATATTTAGATATGTTTTCCCATGAAAATAATTCCTTCATGCCTTCAAATGGCTTAGAAGAAAACACTACTTTAGGCAACACAAGTTGTAGTATTTGAGTAATTTAATCGTACATGTCACAAAACCAGCTCTAGACAAGAAACCAACCACCACTTAGACATGTTAACAAGATTTTTTTTTTTTTTTAAATCTTCATCGGAGGTGGCCTTTAATATTTTAGCTAATTGTTTCAAAGTGGAATGATGCACATGAGTAGGGGTTTAATTCACAGCTACTTAATCTGTCACCCTTTGGTAAATTGTAATCCGCTTGCTTCATCCCACACATTTCTTACAATGCCTATGATTAACTGAACATTTAAACCCAAACCTCACTGTTTAGGTTTAAGGTGGAGCAGAAGATTGATCTGAGAAACACTTTGCAGGAGCTGGGGATAAAGAACATCTTCACCAACGACGCTGATCTCTCTGCCATGACAGGTGACGCATAGTTACATTCAAAACAGCTGCACACACGGGCATAAAAACATGATGCACACTGCAAAATGTTGACACATACTGTATTTACATACAAGTAGATTATTAGAAAACACACATTCATACAGCTATAGATATGAGGTTCAGTGTGAGATGTGATTTCTCCTTCTTGGCAGCAGCGAAGTAAGTACTTTCTAAGGTAACCAAGGTAACTGGCACTGAGTGGGTAGGTCAGAGCTGTCACATCATCCATTAAAAATAGATCCAGAGACTGAGACAGATATACGCATAGAGGCAGAAAAATAGATGCATTAATGTGTTGGGATAATTTACACCTAAATAAAATGTGTTCTCAATGAAAGCCAAATTACACATAGGCAACCAACATATACAAACAAGCATACAAAAAATAAAATAATGATTAGAAAGTTATTAGCCTTCCTTGAAGATCCAGCTGAAAACAGCTTGTTCTCATCAGGTGGAGCTGATATTACATTGTGTCTAAGTTGTGCTGGTCTTTGGAACATCTTGTTCTTGTTATAACATCCTCAGCTCAACATGTACTCAGAGGACACGATCTGTTCTGGCAGGCAGGTGGTAAGAGGGGGCAGCTTGAAAGGCTTTCTGTCATTGGGGAAATAGTTGTTCAGCATTTTCTTTCTGAACAGACGTCACTTCTTAAGAAACTGCTGCTTCATGTGACCTTTCTGTCTGGTTTACAATGTTGATCCGGCTAATAAGTGGGTATACGATACAGAAGCATTCTCTGTACTGCTACGTGTACATACAGTTTTGAGTCAATGTTGCCACATCAGTGTCAGATTTGATATATATCTTATAAAGATAAGATGCTGATTTATATGCTTTTGTTTGTGCATTGTCCAGATGGTAAGGATCTGTACATTGGAAAAGCAGTGCAGAAGGCCTACCTGGAGGTGACAGAGGAGGGAGCAGAGGGAGCTGTCGGTTCAGGTAGACTCATAATCTTCCTTATCATCAACATTGATGAATGCATAACATTTTTGCTTGCTTGAGTGGGTCTTACACAGCAGAGTCAGCTGCAAGTTTACAAAACACTTGTCAGCAAATAACACTGATAGTTGTTCCCCTTTCTTTTTCTTTGTCTCTCTTAGGAATGATTGCCCTGACCAGGACTCTGGTGCTGTACCCACAGGTCATGGCAGATCACCCGTTCTTCTTTGTCATCAGGAACAGAAGGACAGGTGCGTGCGTGTGTGTGTGTGTGTGTGTCTGTGTGTGTGTGTCTGTGTGTGTCTGTGCATGTAAATATAAAGCATTTGAAGGGGTAGGACAAGTATTCCACGACATATAACCTCTTAAGACCCAAGCTCTTGTTTAATATGCATTTTTTATTAAG